CCTGGGTTTCCCTCCCCAGCACCTTTCCTGTTACCTTAATGAAGGTAATGTCCTTGAGTCTTATCCAAGGAAAGTAGCTATCTAGTGTGTTTCCAAGTCCTATGTTCCAAATCCCTTTCAGTACATCCACTTCTAGTATTCTGAACCACGTCTTAACATCTACTTAGCAGATTTTGGATTTCCCTTCTTGTTTTTTTTTAATTTTCTTCTGTTTTGTTTTGTTTTTTAAGAAAGAGATTTTTGCCATAGGGTATGTGCGCTGTCAGAGAGACAGAGATAGGAAGGCAGACAGCAAGAAATCACCTCCCCATGGGGGATGGCAAGGCAGCAGTCCATTCTTCTCTATTCTCCGTAGGATTTGGGGCATGCATGTACATGTGCCCAGTGTGAGTTTCAAGCAGCTGGGTCCAGACTCGGACCACGGTCGATTATGTGAGAGTCCAATGATGTAACCATTATGCCATGGGCTGGTCCCACATCTCCACTTCATTAAACGCAGGCTATTTTTTTCCTCCAGTGGATTCGGATAGTGCCAAGTACTCTCACTAGTGTAAAATTCTGAATCACAGTAGAGTCACCTCTCTCAAACTCGAGTGTTCAGTGTAGTCATCTAGAGAGTTTGTTAAAAATAAAGGTTACTAGGACCCAGCTCCAGAGTGTCTGATGAAGTAGGTTGGGCAGGACCTAAGCATTTGCATTTCCAATGACCTTTCCGGTAATGTTGATCCTGCTTATATGGAGAGAAACTCCTGAGAACTACTGACTAAAGCATCTTTAGAGCCATGAAGTCTTTTCCAGACTTTTACTGCCCACCACTTCAGTCACCACCTCCAAGATCCATTCAGACCTACTTTCCCAGTTTCTACCATGTATAAACAGCAGATGTTGCAGTTCTAGAATGAATAATTCCTTCTGTAGCAGACCCAGCACTTTTGCCTTCAAACCGTACTTAGACTTGATCCTTGTGATTGATCTAATGGTCAGAAGGGCAGATGAGGGCTGATCTTGAAGAGGAAAGGTATTTATTTTCTTCCAAGATCTCTGCCTCCCATCAAGGCAGGGGTTTTACCAGGAAAGGCAAAAAGAAAAAAGTGAGTCAGTGAAAAGGCAAGTAGAAGCTTTGAAAAGAGGAGAAAGGATGCGCACTGTGCACGGCTGCCAGAACGGTCATGTCTGAGAGAGGCTTGAACTCGTCGGGAGTGAAGCAGGCGAGCTTGGGGTTAGTCCTCAGGCAGGGGTAGGGATTACTGTTGTCTGGCAAAGGCAAGAGAACTACATCCGCAGGGCCATAAGTTCAGCGAAATCAGAAGCTTCGTTACTCTTGAGCAATTCCATATCAGAATACAGGGAAGAAGAAAGTACAGTATGACCCCAAATTTTCTGCCTTGGGTGGCTGAACAGAGACTGACTGAAGAGAAAAAAAGGCAATCACTAGGGTTAGGAATAAACACGTTTTTCCAGTTTTGTACATGAAGAATATCAACTGAAAGATGTGCAATAAACAGCAAAATATATGAGACTTGCACTGAGCAAGAAATATGTTCAGGAAATATAGAGTAAGGAGTTGAAATGAGTAATGTCCAAAATGGTTGAAGTCAGAAGTAACTAACATCACTCAGAGAGGATAGATGGGTGGACAAATCGAGGCAGGATAAAGGCTAGAGGCAGAACCGTGGAGAAAATGCCAAATTTAAGATGGCTAAGTCCACAAAGGAGAGATTGTAGGTTACTCGGAGCAAAGGACTGAATAGCGAGAAGAAAATGTATGGGAAAAGTCCTAGTTATTAAACAAGATGGGTCAAGGAAGAAATGTACTATAGAGTCATTGGTAGTGGGAGAAATTATGATATTTTAATTAAATGTATTAACACAGATTCATGAAGTCTGAGTATCTGGGAAGAGGAGTGTTGAAGCATGACTCCAGGCGGTAGAGGAGACAATGGAAAATGTTGGAGACTGCTGTTTTGTTTAGTTTGGGTTTTTTTGTTTTTGAGACTCTTAGCTGCTAAGGAAGCTGTAGAAAAATAAAAAGAGTTGTAGAGTATCTTCTATTTTGAAGTCAAGACTTGAGAAGAATCCCAATGCATAGAGTAGATAGTGAGAGCTGAAGAAACAGACTGACTCCTTGGGACCTGCAGAGAGAGAAAAAAGAGATTTGGGGAACCCATTAGAGCATTAGAAGTAGTTCCAGAGACTAAGCAATAAGAAGTCTACAGAAATCTCCAGAAAATAATTCTTCAACAGAAAAATGAAGAAAAACTTTAGAGATTGCAAGAAATACATAAAGGTATTGCATTAGAATTACTTTGATGGTTAATATTAAACAGAAAATTTCAACTTATTACAACTTATAACAATGATGTTAATTTTTTTTAATATGCCAAATATAAAACTATACTGAATTTTCAAGATATTGCAGTGGGTTAAATTTAATCTCTTGTACTTCTTTGGCCTTTGAGATCTATCTTTCTTCTTCGTATTCTTTATTTGATCCTTTTATCAATATATGACCTGAAAGCAACTTATCTAGATGCTATTCAAACATTACATTATAGTATTTGTTATTTTTTTTTAATGCCAGAGGGCATAAGTGTAGGCCAGAGAAAGACAGTGTTTCCCAGTGGGGCTCATCATGCCACAATCCTTTTCCTCTATTTCTCCTTCCTGTTAAGATACTAACAGGATGTGTGTGTGCACCCAGCATGTTTTGGAAGTCACTAGGGCTGAGGTTTAAACTGCAGTTGGTCATGTGGGATCCAGTGCCCTTCACGCAGTGTTTAACCACTGTACTATGAGGCCGGCCTCTAATACTTATTTCTAAGAGAATTATCTCTCTAAGAGGAGTGTTTCTCTGTCCTAAAGACATTACATCTCTTTCATCAGTTAAAACAGTGTAGCTCTTCCTGTTCATTTTGTTAAAATTTTAAATGGTTCACTGTTCCTTTGTGTTTGACATATCATTTCTCCTTCTATTGTTTTTGCCTATGTCAATAGTCTCACTTTAAAATTTTCTTCATTGTGAGTTCTTTCAGCTACTTTAGAAGGAGGGTGAATAGAAATAGTATATACATAAATACATTAAGAGTGGATGGAATATTAAACTTGAGTATAAGATAGGACTACTGGGAACCAGCAGTTAGTGTAATAGCTATGTTGCTGAACTCCCACGGAGTCGACTGCGGTTCGCGTCCCAGACCCGGTGGCTTAAAACTCACTCCGGGCGTGTGTGCGTACGTGCCCAAGATCCCAAGAGGAGAATGGAAGAGAAGGGATTGCGGCGTGACCATCCCCTCTGAGGGGTGATTCTCACTTTCTGTCTCTATGTCTCTGTCTGTCTGGCGAGCACACGTGTCCTATAACGAAAAACCTCTCCAAAGAAAAAAAAAAGATAGGGCTACCTATTTTCAGTATGGAAGATTAGATAAAGTACCATTTGATGGGACTGTCTGGTTATTTGGGTGCAACATTTAGAACTACAGAAATTATAACCTGTCTATATTCAACTCTGCAAGGCAATTCACCAAAAATACGAGATGTATACAACTTCAGAATGCATTTTCCTGGTTCCTTAGGAATTTCCAACGAATATGAATATAGTGAATATATGCATTCCTGTCCCAGTAACTGCAGGACCTACAAAAATTCATAGAAATCTTTTGTGCACAGAAGGAAAAATAAAATAAATATCTTCCCTACTCAAATATGAATTCAGATAAGGCTAGCGACCTCAGATAATGCCAATTGCTTGTTCAAAGCAATATTGTAATGTTCATTTTCCTTATATGTTCCCAAAGAAAGGGCATGCCTCCTACTATTTTAAAAATAATTTCAAGGACTTAAGATGGTAGAGAGAGGAAAACTAATTGTGTAAAGATAAAGCCTCTAGAGAGTTTTTGTTGATATTGCCTTCATGGAAGAGAAGTTTAAGACACAGTGATTATTAAAACAGGAAAACTCATCCGCGCTCTCATTAAAGTAGATAACAAAATGATTTTGCTTAGAGCAACAAATGTGAAATCTCTTAATTTTCTTCTTAAACCATGTGACTCTTTAGCAGCTTAGATAAAAGAAGCAGTTAGAACAGATCAGCATCAGATCTCCCGTTAATGCAAAGTAAATTGAATTCTAGAGAATCTTGGTTCTTTCAAGTCGGCCGAGGGTGCCACAGTTCAATACAAAAACCATTATGCTTACTTACCACGCTAAGAAGTCCTCCAAATCATTTATAAGGGCTGAGCCCGAACGAATGGCCCCAAGCTTGCCTACTTCACTCCCAATAAATTCAAGCCTTTCTCAGACAGGACTGAATTGCTCTGGCCGTCATACCCAGCACGCACCCCCTTTCTCCCCTCTTTCCAAATCTCATCGTCGCCTTTTCTCACTAAGTGGTCTTTTTATTTTCCTTTTTCTCTTTACTGGTCACACCCTTCTGGTCACCACTGTTACATTTCCACAGTACTTGGTACACACCCTGGTCTTGAAGGCAGGATACCTACGATCAACAGTAGTCTATTGGGGAAGGCCCAGCATCCAATCATAATGGACTCCCAGTGTCCCACTAACTTCTCATTTAATACCTGGCAAATGCTCCACCAAAGAGACTTAGGAGGTAGTGCTCCTAGAGGGGTGGGATTTGCCATAGAGTCAGCAGTTTCCACCAAGCTAGGTGCTACACAGACTTCATGGGCTTCCCTTTGCTGTTTCTACTGCAATAGGCAGATAAGCCTGTGTTTGGCATATTTCTACCATCTCTGTCTTGTTCAACTGCACCAGAATTTTAGGCAGTATTAGTTGCTGCTTGAGCCTCTGATTTTTACCTTCTAGAACCTCCTTTCCTAGGCCCCTACTTTTTATTTATTTATTTATTTATTTATTTCAATAAGCTCTAAATTCCCTATCCTCATAATATTTGAGGTGATCAGTTTTCCTGGTTGAACGTTTCCCGGAATACCTAAAGACTGAGTAATCATGATGGGATATTAAAGAATCACTCCTCAAGAACCAGAGCCTAATTTACACATACAACAACAGAAACCCAGGAGCTAAGCTGCAATGTTTGAACTTATTCTCATAAAAGTTAATCCCACTATCCTCACCACCTCTTCTCTCCTGCTCAATTTTTCTTTCCCAAAATAATTCATTTAAAACATTTTGTCACTTATTGAAATTTTTCAATTTCATAATTATTGGTATGATTATTAATTAAATGCCAGTTCTTCTTCATTACCCCAGTGAAGGTTGGAATCACATTTACGCTGTTCGATGTCTTACACTGTCTACCTAGAGACTATAAATGCCTGGCTCACAGTAGGCATACAATGAAGTACAATAAATATGTTCAAGTAACTGAATAATTTAGAGGAAATGTGATTTGAAACCTAGGACTCTTAAATAAATACACACTTGTAGATTTATGCTTTAAGCACGATGCATCTCTTTGAAGAAGGAAATAAACAATTTTCCAGCTCTAAACATTGAGAGCCTTTTTTACATTCCATCAGTAACATAACCCATGACCAGGTAAATACTCATCGTCTTTATTTCCCCCAACAAAGAGAATCAATTACAAACTTCTCTGTTAATCCCCTAAGTACAATGTGAACTCCATTAAGGACTCAGAAGTTAGTAACCCTGGGATAAAGAGTAATGTTTATACTACTAAATGAATAATGGCTCCACATTGTCTCGAAGAGGAGAATTTTCCTGGGTTGCCATTTGGTTTGTTTGTTAGTTGATCTTAAATCATTTAATGGGTCAGGAAGATGCTATGCTTAGCATGAATACTAATGTTCTAACAAGGCTGCCGAGGAACAACAGGCTTCAGTAAAAGTTAATAATGTCTGGCTGTCACTGGGATTTCCTCTTCTATAAAGATTTGGGAGCCATTGTAAAACTGTAACAGCAATGTGTGCTAACTACTTTTAAAAAGCCTGTTTCCCACTTCATAGAATATTGTACAGGTACCAGTCCCGCTAAAACTTGATGCAGCCCTAAGCTTGGACATATAATTCTGGATGCTGAATATTCTCTCAGACAATTTTCTATTTCACTTTTAGAGTTAGCCCTTTTAGGAGATTATTCATGTATTGTAGTGACCAAAGTTGATGATTCTCAGATTAGTCAGAAATAGAGTTCTCTCACTACGTCCTGGGACCTGTGTAACAGCCCAATCTCCAAGACAACTCTTCTTTCATTTGGAGTTCCAGAAAAGGCAGGTGGACACTCAGAATAATGAAGTGAACTCCACAAGGATCTCAACCAACAAGTCAAATTCAGCATCCCCCAAACATTCTTTCCTGAGCCAGAGTGGCCAACACATCTACTTTTCCATAGGGAGTTACCAACATCTCAGAGTGACTGGGTAATGAAGGAACCATTGAGTAGCAGGGCCTCTAAGAGACTACCTGAACACCACATTCACTTTACAAATGAGAAAATGAGGACGCAAGCCAAGACAGCAACAGCTACAGAAATTTCCTTCAGAATAAATAGATTTAAAAAATGTAAAACTGTAGGCAGTGCTTCTTATTAGGTGATTATTCTTATTGGCAAAAGGAAAGCTTCTTAGCATAAGCCACAAGTTACCTAGGGAAAAGGAGCCACTAGAGACAAAAACAAAGCATCGAATAGGGATTTAGCAAAATATTCTTTGTCTTATGGATACCCAGTACCTGGACACCCTTAACGAGGTTTTGAGTCTGGGTGATGTTTACTTCACATACTATAAACCAGGATGGGGTAGGGCCAGATACTCTCTCTGTCCCTTCTCCCAGCATCACCTCAGCCAATCCATTGCTTCTGTCTGTAATTCTCGTTCTTAAAGAGCAAAGATGGCCTGACCCCATAGCCCAGTGGTTAAGGGAGCTGGATTCCACATGGGTGACCACAGTTCAAACCCTATCTCCTGCTATTTGAAAAACACAGTGGGGTGCATATGTGTGTGTGCCCCAAATCACAACAGGATGGAGAAATGGAGATGAAGGGATTTGGGTGTGACTACACTTCATTGTAGGGTGCTTTCTTCCTCTCTCTCTCTCTCTCTCTCTTTCTCTCTCTCTCTCTCTGTCTGGCGATTGCATGCACCCCTCTGGCAAATTAAAAAAAAAAAATCCAAAAAAAAAGTATGGAATAAAAAGCAAAATTACTTGTGAACTTCAGCAAAAAAAAGCAGACTGATGCCAGGACTAAGAGCCTGCTATGAAGAATCCAAAGTCATTGAGTGGACAGGGCCAGGGAAGCATCCTACAGAGACCATTCCAAGGCATGGCTTGTTTCAAACTGGGGTCTGTTTCCGTCTGTTCTTCTAAATGGCTCACCAATCTTAGTTCCTGCCCTTTTCAAACGTGGTTCTCTAGACTTCTTGAGATTTAGACATGATAAATTCCTCTTTTATTTTGATTTTGTCAGAGCAGAATTGTGACTCCACATTCTGGCAGTGGCAGATCTGGTGAGGCAAAAAAAGCCAGTTCTGGGTAAGACCCATGGCATCTAGTATTGGCTTACCTGCTCAGTGGCTGCGTAGCTGTGGACAAGTCAGTCCCCTTCTCTGGAGCTCGGCCTATTTATTCCATCTTACAAGCACACTGGGATATATAGCTCCTACAATTACTAAAGTATTATTGGCATCTTTTTGTTTAGTACTCTGTTATTAAAGGCTAAGATGATGTCTTTAAAGTTTTTAACACCTCCAATGAATTAATTTGATTTAACAAACTTATTAAACACACATTTTGTGCCAGGCACCAGGCTAAACTCTATATAGAACAGTGAATTAATCAGTCATGGTTTCTGGCCTCTTGGGGTTTAGAAGAAAGACACAGCAATTGCCAGTCAATAACCACAGGGTAAAGTAAGCGTTATGCAATAACACACACAGGATGTCTTCAGATAGCATCAAATAGGCCGCTAATGCAGACTTGGGGAATCAGTGGAATTTTCCTAGAAACTGTGACTTCTAACCTGTAATGGCAAGAATGGAAGAATGAGTTAGATGTGCTGAAAGAGGACTTAGATAGGGTGGCAAGACAAATTATTCCAAATCTAAGGGACAGCGTTAACATCAAAGGCCCGGAGAAACTAAAAAGAGCTCCCAGTCACTGGGCTGCAGAGAAGGTGTTGCTGATGTTAAAAAAGTCATAGGCTAGATCAGCCCATACCGAGCAGGCCACACTTGGGTTTTATCCTACACATAAGGAAAATAGAGATTCAACATCCATGCATTCATTTATATTCATTCATTCATTTACCAAGGCAAAATTAGTAAGCAAGTGTGTTTTAGAAATATCTGCAGCAACAGAAGTTGGATGAAAACATATTTTCAGAATTAACCAGAAAGATTAAATATAATTTCCTATTTCTTGAGCCTATGACTCCCTAAAGTTGAATCTATTCCTTGGGAAACACACTCCTAGCCCTCAGTACTAAGTTTCTCAGCAGGCCAGAAGATTTACCTTTCTGCTCATCTGGGTCACCCTTGAGTTATTTCATGTAGATTTTTTTAAATGGCTCATGGGTTACAGAGGCATGAAATGAAACTGCAATGAAAACCCACTGGGACCAACTGGTTTTAACACATGCACTGCTTAGTTTCCTAGGTTTTCCAGAGAGCATGCATTTTAACAAACATCCATTCAGCCTTTGATCCTCAGAGAAGAGTTTTGCTACTAGACTAGTAGAGGCAGTTTCATAAGAGTTGTTTTGCCAGTTTCCCCTGTAATAAGCTCTGTAGAGGGACATGGAACCCTAAATTCGTTTTGAGCACATGTTTGTTTTCTTACTCAATCTCACTTCTTGGAGTTTCTCATTAATTGTTGACTTTTTTTTTTTTTTGACCAAGACAGGGTTTATGTCCTTCAGAACATCTGACACTCATGGGACCAGCAGTTAGCATAATGGCTATGTCACTGGACTCCCATGTAGTCGACTGCGGTTCACGTCCCAGACCTGGTGGCTTAAAACCCATGTCAGGCGCATGTGTGTGCGTGCCCAAGATCCCGAAAGGAGAACGGAGGAGAAGGGATTGTGGCATGGCCATCCCCCCAGGGGGTGATTTCTCGCTTTCTGTCTCTCTGACCATCTCTGTCTGTCTGGTGAGCGCACGTGCCCTATAGCAAAAACCTTCCTCCCACCCCCCCAAAAAAAAGAACATCTGACACTCAGAAACAAACACAATATGATCTGCTCTCCATCTGGTGCTACGCCACAGCCACCTACCTTGCCCTGGACACTGCCCTGGCTGGTTTGCACAGGCCATTTTGACATTCACATCACACTGGGTCTCCCACTGCGTTGCCTGTCAACGAAATCTCTAAGGCTTTTCCCCATGGATTGCAGTTTAGCCACTTCTCCCTTATCTCATGTACAATTTGACTTTTGAACCCAAGTGCAGGACCCTCCATTTATCCCCATTAAGTTTCATCTTGTTAGATTCAAGCTATTGTTCCAGTCTGTCGAAATCACTTTAGATCTTAGCCTTGTCAGCTGTCTCCCTCCTTGCTTTATGTCATCTGCAAATTTGATCAGCATGCTTCCCATGTTTTCATCTAAGTCATCGATGGAAAGGTTGGGTAGCACCGAGGCAAGGACACGGCCCTCTCGGTCACTGGAGATTGCTCTTCAGGTTGCTGGTGATCAATCAATCAACATTCACTGAGGACTGCCTTTCATCCAGGTTCCAGTACACTGAGTCACATTATCATCCAGCCACCCTTCTCCATCATGCCAATCTCAAGGGGGATTTCGTCAGATGTGTGCTGATATCCAGATACACCACGTGGGGCATCTCTCTCCTTATTGCTATAGGGAGACTCTGGGTGCATAAAACCTAACAGCACTGCTGCAAAGATTGATAAACATGGTTTATATAGAGCAGAGTTTGTGTAAGAGGAGAGTGACAGATAGCCCTCTCTCATTTCACTAGAACATAAGCTACTTAAAGCCAGGAATATTTATCTATTTTGCTCACAGCTGTTTCTCCAGCATGAACAGTGTGTAATGATAATAGACACTCAAATATTTATTAGATGACTTAATTAGTGAATATTGTTTGGGGTTAGCTATAAGCTAACCAATTAAAAAAGCAAGATATTTGTGGATTTCTGTATGAAAAGAATGATAAGCTGTTGTTAGATTTACTTCTTTTTGCCTAGATTATGGGCTAAATCAGGCCCACTTTCTGGTTTTATAAATAAAGTTTTATTGGAATGGCCCTACCTTTATCTTGCCTATGACTGTCCTCAAGTTTCCGTGGTAGTTGAATATTTGTGACAGAGACCAGATGGTCCACAAAACTGAAAATACATACTACATGGCTTTTTTTACAGAAAATTTTGCTAACATTTGATCTAGGAAATTAGGTTCAAATTGCTGACATCTAAGAATTTCCATGATCTAACTTTTCCCTACTTTTCTTGCCGATCAAGATTAATGATATAGAAAAAACTCCCAAATGTTATCATGTGTATTATTTTCTCTATCCTTCTCTCACTGTTGGAAACAACAAAATGTCCTATAGTCCTATCTGAGTTTCTCTTTCCTTCTTTTTCTTTCTTTATCTTTCTTTCTTCTTCTTTCTTCCTTTTCCTTTCTTTCTGTCTTTTTCTCTCTCTCTCTCTTTTTTTTTTTTTTTTTTTTAGTTTTTGCTATAGAGTGCATGTACTCAGGGGAGACAGAAAGAGAGCGAGAAGTCACCTTCCCCAGGTGGTGGCCATTCTTCAATCCCTTCCCCTCCAGTCTCTCCTCTTGGGATTTTGGCCATGTATACACACACACGCACACACACACACACACACAGGGCATGATTCATCAAGTTGCCAAGTCCTGGACCCAGGTCTTTTCAACATTGAAAACATACACACATAAAAACTATATGCAAAACAAACATAATAATGTAGCAAACCTTCAATGAATGTCTGCTATAGGCTGAGCACTACGTTAGATACTTTAAAGTAGCTTTACAATTGCAAGGTACATATAATTCTCTCTTTTTTTCTGTTGAGGAAATTGAAACAATTCACTCAATGACTCACAGACAATACAGGGTTTTTGTTTTGTTTTGTTTTACAGTTTATTTATTTCATAAGAGTGACAGAGAGAGAGAGAGAGAGAGAGAGAGAGACAAGCACCCTCAACAAGGTCTCATGCAGCAATTGTATTCATGCCTTCCCAGCCGGTGAGGCTCAGAGGGATGCATACCTTGTGTGTACAGGTCAGCTAGGGAACCGAACCTACCATCTTCTACGTAGGCCCAGCATTACCCAGCCATGTGTCACCACTGTCCTGCCTACCTGGCCCCCAAATAGACGGTTTGATGGAGTTTTGAGTTAAGGTTTGACCAAATCTCCTGGTATTTTGGGTTGTTTTTGTTCATTGTACATTCAGAAATAAGCCAGTTTACAAAAGGGAAACTGGGACATGTCCAATTTTATAGAAATCTTGATTTGGGGCTTAAAATATAATCAAATTAATGTTTTTAAATCTTCTGTCGATGCTTAAGTCAGCCAAAGGCAATTTTATTTTCGAAAGCCATTAACTAGCATGACTTTAAACAATAAAATCAATTCGGAAACTGTTCATTCAGTTAAAAATCTGAGACAGCAATTTTAATGCCATTGTATTTAAACCATCCTACGTATAATTTCATTCATACCCAGCCCTAAATCATACTGTGCTCTTCACTCGGGCAGCTCCCATTCCATCTGCCAATGCACAGATGGGCTGGTCTGTGCATACGGGCTTTTCTTTATATGCTGGATGTGATGGCAACAATGATGAACCTGGTGTGTCTGTCAGGAGCCTAGCGTGTAGCCCAGTTCTTGCTCACATCATCTTTGGGCAGGAGGTAAGCGACTGGCATTATCTAATCACAGTTTCTATTTATGTCCCTCCACTTCAAATCACTTCTCCAGCCCAGGCTGGCTTTTTCCCTCCACTAATAACTGGATTTCGCTTTCCCTTAAGATCATATTTCATCAGCCGCTGGCCGTCTCCTCTGCTGCTAATGCCGCACTGATCTGCTTTGGCAAGTTTCCAGACTTTCTTTTATCACCTTAGGGGCTATATCCTGGCCAGGCTTTTCTCTCTACCCCTGACCCTTCCATATGCCCCTTTCCCCACAAGCTCCCACATCAACCCCCTGTCCAGATTTAATTTCTTTTCCATGTCTATTCAAGCAGACACAAAAACAAAAATAGCATTTCCCTGGGAAGGGTTTCATTTCCCATGGCCAAACTTAGCATAGCTTTCCCCATCGAGAAGCATCTTCCAGGGCTCGGCAGAGTCCCTTGAGTGGACCCAGCGAAATGGCGTTTTTTTTTAGGGAAAGGGAAAAAAAAGTCTTCTGTGAAAGCACATTCGGGATTTTATGTGTATTATGTTAAATAAACACCACAGGGTAATTCAGTATTTATGGAAAGAAAAAAAACCAACCTTGAAGATGATAGGGCATCAGAGAAATTTAATTACTCCCCCAGGTCTCTTCTGTGTGAGGAAGTGTTCACATGACAACTTGGGTGGCTTTTTTTTTTTTTAATTTTAATTTTTATGCCTGGCATCTCTCTTCCATGAAGGTGCTAATAGATGCACATTTTGGACAGAGGCAAGTATGCTGTTCAATTACCCACCTCCTCCCACCAGCTCTCACACAATGAGAAGGAAACTACCTCAAGTCCATGTGTTCAGCCCAGAGATATTAGGGAGAGACACCCAGCATCAGGCCAGCGGCCAAGGAGCACTGATGCCAGGATGGATCCTAGAGGGTTTCAGAGTGTCTTGAAAAGAATAGTGAGGGCTTCTGAAAAGAAGCCATCCAGGTTCTAAGCCTCCCCTTGTCCAGTATGACAATATTGATTGAAGGGGATTACCAAGATGGTTAAGATGGACAGAATTATCTCTCTCCCTAACTGATGCCCAGAACATCTGTAATTCTAAAGAACACTTTGGTCAAAGGACTGTGGCAGGAC